CAGACAGCCGTTTGGCCACACGCTTTCTTCGGGGCAGAAACCCAGGTCGTGGGGGAGGCACACTTTCGAACCCTCCGCCGTGAAGCAGCGCGTGCCCTTGTCGGCCCCCATGCACAAGTCTCCAGCTACCTGGCAGTCCACATTTTCACGCCACAGTTGCAAGATCCATACTTATATGTCCTTTCCACGGCCCTCTCATTTCTACGCCGGCTATTTCATACCAACTCCGCCCTGGCCCATGATTTCTTAACAGCAGTGGTCCATCATGACGGTCCTGCCGTTGGCCCGGCCGGGGCGTTAGCGCGATATCTTAATTTGTTAGGATGGTCTTTAGATTTGCGTGGCCATTTGACACTTGATGGATACCTCTCTGTGTCAGTTCGACACGACTCCCTCCGACACATACGCTCTACACTCCGGAGGGCGTGGGCCTACCACTTGCATCGCCAGATTAGCCACCGTAAGGGTATCCCACCAGCGCCATTTGACTATGACATCCTCACTCGCGCACTGCGACAGCTGTCCATGACATCCTTGCGTCAGATTGCCTCTAACCTGACCGGAGGTTACCAAGTAGGAGCTGTCAAGGCCCAATGGTCTGCCACCGCCACAGCAGACTGCCCCCATTGCGGACAACTCGACACTCATCATCATCAACAATTGATTTGTCCTGCTTTCTTGCACGTACGGCAGCGTCACCCACAGGCAGTCACTTATCTCACGAATACTCTAGATAAGCTGTGGTTACCTTTGCCACACTCCTTTCCGGATATCTGTCTGTTACGTCAACTCTTATCCTTTCGGGGCCAAGATACGACTCATACAGTCATCCAGCAGAGGAACCAAGTCCTGATGTTCTATACTGATGGCTCTGCTGATACACCACTCCATCCGGAAACACGCAGGGCCGCCTGGTCGATTATCCAATATCAACCGGACTCCACGACACAACCCTTCGTCACAATCAAAATTCAACACGTCCAAGGTCCCCAATCCATTTCGCGCGCAGAACTCGCTGCAGTCACCTGGATTGTTCAATATGTCGTCACCACACATCGATCCGAACCAGTCATTATTACAACAGATTCTCAGTATGTGATCAACATCGTAGCACAAATCACTGACAACACGATGGCCCCCACCTGGCATCGGTTAGCACATGCTGACCTTCTGCAAATCTTGCATCGATACTGGGACCCGGCTCAGTTCTTTCTCAGGAAAGTAAAATCCCACCAGGATATTTCCCAATTACCACCAGGACAGAAACGCACTGACGCGATCGGTAATTCGTGGGCTGACCACGCAGCAGTACGAACCCGTCAGACAGATCATCCGCTTATCAACCAGCTCTTCCAACGGGCTCAGGTCTGGCATAAGGAGCAATATCTTCAGACCGTATGCATTTTAAAATATCTAGCGGACCTCAATTTGCATCACCTCCAGTTGCATCAGCAACTCTCCCAGCAAAAAGTCTTGGAAGGCACAGGTGACTCCGCTGATAATGCTTGGGGCCTTTTGTTTCGTGCACGGGAATCATTCCAAGTGTCCCACCCTTGGCAGATTTTTAGGCCAGTTATCCACCCAGCCTTTCTCACAGCGTGTGTCTGGGGCAACCAATACGCAGATTTAGTTATGCATTTTTGTGCGTCCCTGCGTTGGCCGTCCGATGATTACACTGGTCATGACCCTACGGTTACAGACGGGATCACCTGGCATGAACTTGCCGTAGCATTCGTCGTTAATACTGGCCTCCAACTACCAACATGGGTTAGACTAGAGAATCAGAAGCGAGCACAACCCCTCCACTGGCAGGATCCAAGGGTCTTGCCCTCCCGGCAAATCGTCGATCACTTCGGGAACAAGCCGAAGCTTTTCGTACGATTGTGCTCTACCTTCAACATTATGCCAGTACTCCTTTGATACCTACCTACTCAAAAAAGGGTTCGCTCAGCTTGACACGGGTCGGATGGGGTCGAGCATATACAGGAGGATTTCGTTACCGACCAGAAATCCCCAAGTCCAAGGAAGTCCAGCGCACCTTGCTTCGATATGCTCTTGATTTGCATTGCAAGCCACCTTACCATCCCGATGGAATTATCCCTATGCACCATGTTCAACCAACTCTGCAAGTTGTCGACGCTATCCCATTGTCGTTCGAACAACGGTTCCTTTATCGGCGGTATCTCCGTCAATGCTGGAATCGTAAGGGCGACCTTGACTCTGTGCCTATCCCATCGGCACCTAATTAGGAATCTTCAATTCGTAATTACTGTTCCTTCTTCACTCTAGATGCAGCGCGGATATTCGGTTTCACCTAGTTAGTCCGATTTAGGAACGTTTGTATAGCATGCACTTTTTGTACTTCATTTCTCACTTCGACATTTCACCAAACTCCCCGCTACCCACCAACATGGTGAAGGGGCGAGGGAAGCGCTAGACACGTTGCGCAAGTCATGGGAGTAGCGATGCCAGGAGCCCCTAGTAGCGTCCTTGCTCCTAGTAGCGATGCC